ATTCGTGAGTAGTAATGATCCAAAAGCATCCAGAATAAAACATGCAGTATGGCAATCACTTCCAGGGTGCTTGATGCTGTTGAGGTTTTTGGGACTCGCTCTGATCAGAACAACTAAATGAATCCAGAAGATTGTGTGTGCCATTGAATGAGCCATCTAAAATGAACTTATGATTGCAGAAAACTTATGGCTGAAACTCACCGTATGTTTTTAGAGAAGCATCATCCTTGTTGTTTGGCAATGGAACTCGAAAACATGAAATTAGGCAGGCAGTGGTCAGAAGAAAGATATTACAGGATAGTGCGTAGTTTAAAACAGGATGAGGTGTTAAGTGAAGGGACACTAAGAACTAGATCCAGATAACTATTTAGTTCTTGATTGCATTGCTAGTCAATGTATATTTACGCTATTTACAGGTCATATTTGCTAGAGCTTGATGTTTAAACAAGTCTATGTCGCTGAAGCATGTAAATGCTATTAAAGCTTGTTAACGAACCATCAAAGCTAATTAGTTGATGTAGATAACCGGTTATTGATATCGATTGAGTTTGTATGTTATGAGTACTAATCAAAATAACATTACGATAATGCATGTGAGCATTAATCAGAAGACTATTAGAAAAATGGATTTACACAAATAAAAATCGATTGAGAAGGTTAAGGTGGATCTAAGGATTAGCAATAATAGACTGCGTTTCTTTAGTTGGGCTCACCAATGTAGAATTATGGTCTACTATGATATTAGTACTGCTCTAATAATAGACCTAATCCTAAAATTGTAGATTTGTCATGATATAACTGCCTAATCTATAAGATCTTACGTGGAAGTCACACCATCGACTACACCAACTCACTGTATCGTATCAATTACCAATACATGATGTAGAACAAGGTTAAGCTAGAGAAAGAACAATATATTTAATATGAATAGGAGATATAAGATAACATCCAGCAGGGACCACGCCTGCATGGCTGAGCCATGCCACTCGGTCAACTCAGTCCATTCAATTCATTCTTCGCGCCTTCTCCATTGTTAGGTATTTATCCGCGTTAAATATTGAATATCTATTTCCTGAGTAGTCTCGTGTTCAGCTTTGTGGATTGTGCGGTTATTGTCCAATGCCACTACAAAGTTATCTAGCTGGGGAACTGTGCTTAATTGAGTGCCCCAGTGTACAGTTTTGGGGCCAGTGCTATTCCTCTTGTATTTAAATGACCTTTCTCGTATCCTATCATCATCGGTCTTGCTATATACTGACGATGTCAAGATATGGAGGGTGATAGCTTAGAACTCCAAAATGACCTGAAGAAATTATCTGGATGGTCTAAACCTGGCAGTTGCCGATAAATACTTCCAAGTGTGTTGTGATGCATATCGGTCATCAAGGCACAGATACATACACGATGAATAACACTGAGCTACCTGTCGTCCAGACATATAATGACTTAGGAGTTATCGTTAGTCAAGACTTAAAGACTACTGCACACTGCCGTGCAATAGCCGCCAAAAGTTTTAGAACGTTATGGTCAATACGTAGGGCTTTTAGTCATGTCGACACTAAGACGTTTTTGACTTTGTATACAGTGTTCGTTCGTCCTAAACTTGAGTACTACATATAAGCGGCCAGCCCCTGCCTTAAAAAAGGCAGTGAGCTTCTGGAACAGGTTCAGAGAACGGCAACTAAGCTGATTCCCGGAATAGCGAAGCTTCCGTATGAAGCTCGACTGGCCAAGCTGAACCTTTACCCGTTGTCATATCGCAGAACTAGAGGCGACTTGAATACAGTTTTCAAATTACTTAGTGTCAAATTTGCACCTGATATGCCCTCATTTTTCTTGTTTTCCAAAACAGAGAATTTACGAGGACACTCCAAAAAAGTTCACAAGCCAAGAACAAATTACTTGTCAGCTGACTACCGACTTTCCCATCGAATCATCAACGAGTGGAACTCATTACCTCAGCACGTGGTTGAGGCTCCATCCGTCGATTATTTCAAAAGAAAGTTGGACCAACTGAGGGACCACCATTGTCAGGACTAACACAGGCCATCGGGCCTCCTGTCCTTCCCAAACTGAAACTGAAACTGGAAACTGAATCATTATGTACTTTGATTTCACTTATGCTTACGGAGACTATTCTGCTCATCTTCCTTCAGTCTCTTCTTTCACGATTAATTTTATTTGCCTCATATTTTTAAGAAATCAGATGCATTAACATACTTTCATATAATATAGAATTATCTACCACAACGCAGGTTTAAAAAAAGAATAATATAAGGACCATATTAGGTCTTTTTGACCAGAATCACATCGAACTGGCGCCGAAATATACATATGATAGCGGAATTCTATAATAATAATCAAGCAAGAAGTTCATGAATTCTTAAAATGTGTAGATATATTTACCCGTTCCTTGAAAACCTGGCGCAATATTTAAATGGAGCGGCTTTCATCCCATTTTTTACATTCCAAGGTATGTATATCCTTATAATAAAATAAATTTAGATAACCACCATGTTCTAGGTAATAAAAGCAGTGTTTGAAGTCTCCACGTTTTTTAGTTGACGTTAGTAGTATCGCTGACTTTAGGTCTGCATTTTCGTAGTTAGAACCAAATAACTTGATGATTTCCACTTGTTTGTATTCTTTATGAATGTCTGTTGGTTGTTCGCCACAAGCTTTTTAGTAAGATTGTATGAACTTTCAGGTGTCTTATAAGTAGGTCAGTTGTTCTAACAATCTGTAAATTAATTTACACAAATGTGTCTACAGATTTCGCTCCACATAATCGATATAAGGGGGGAGGGATAGACACTTTTTCCTTGTCCGCGCCGTCACCCTCTTTTTCCATTTGCTTGGGTTGTTTAGTGAGCCTGTTAGTTGTTGCTAATAGGTGTCGGTTTGCTTTAAATGTAACATTACTCATTTCGGTATATTATCAGCTACTAGTATTTATGTAGGAGTTAATCATCGCTTAGCATATGGTTGACTGGCGATTATGAAACTAAAGCTTAGTTGTACTTTTAGAGTATGGTTCCGGGTTAGGCTTTCTCTTTCACTTCCTAAAAACAAAACCTCACCGAGTGTATACAGGACGTGGTTGGATGTTTGACTGCGTTAGGAAGTACAATAAATACATCGATTATCGGTGGGCATGATTTGTCCTATTTCAGGGTTTTATCCCCGTAATTTTTCAAATCGAATTGTTTTCATTGTTCTCGGTTGATATTTGATGACTAATCATAGCCTGATTTTAAAGATATCAGGGGATGTCTTAAAAATGGTTTCATCCATCCTATCTTCCTTACGCTAAATGCACTGTCATCACATATTTTTCGCCGTAAGTCTCATTTACTGCCATTTAGTTGCATTTTTGTATTTGAATTCCCATTATAATTGAACCCATTTCCCCTCCCCTTATCATACTGATTTCATGCCTCACTGCTGATTAAGTGTAGGAACTTAAATCGGCTCACATATGTCCCAGATTCTACGTTGCATATAGATAACCAATTTCAAAAAAACTTTTTAGAAAAGTTAAATCGTCGGTTGCTTACAGTTGTGTTACTTAATTGTCTTTGATGGATAACCTGTTAAATACATTTATCAAGTAATGAAACTGTTAATTCTACCGAGTATTTTTTTTCTACCATTTTATTTTCAAGGCTGCTCACTAGTAAGTGTGCGATAAATCGCAGGTCAATGAATAATTGCATCTCAAGTTTATGTTATTTGTTACATGAAATTCCACTGCATGGTTTTCATAAGTTAATATCCACTGAAGAGGTGGATTTATGATACTTGAAAAGTATGTGATCAATGGAGTGAAAAGAGTTACTGCCATTATGGTAAAAAAGAAATGTATATCATAATCAAAAACCATTATTAGAAATAACCTCTTCAGCGTTAATAATCGTAACAACTGAACCATGCAATAGAACCATTGGAAGAAATGGGTAAACCAAATAAACCATAAACTTTGGCTATGATAAAAAGCAAAAGACCTACGAAACCGTTTCCGCATGCTAAATCGGGGTTTCATGTTGTGAATAGCTTAAGTTTCTCAGTTTGACGTAGGCTTAGGAGCAGATCTTTCGGAATGTTTGACGGGATCTTGCAAATGATTCCGTAGGACGAACCTAAAGTTGAATTTCTTGCGTCTACTGCATGTTCCAGAATAATAATCATAACTTATCTACATTGTCCTTTACTAAGCTATTCTGAAAGACACTATCGAATATGGCAAGGAAGCGGCCTCGAAGGTCGGATTACATAGCTCCACAGGACATAAACTGGTCTATAAACTTGGAATCGATTAGTCATAACAAATAAATAAACATCTTTAGTAGGTTACGCGAAGATTTGCTGAGTAAATTGTTTTTTGTGTCGATTTCGCCGAACGTTTATCAAGTATGTCATGAGCCGTATTTTTTGAATGCAAGATTTAAACACAATTAGAATAAAAGCTCTTAACTCAATAAAACACCTACAAAACTTCAAACATTCCTCGTGAATCATGCTTACTGGGAGATCTAATAATGAGACTTGGTTGGTCCATTGAAATGTATACAGTAACATTTGTGTCTTTAACCTGGTGGTCGACGTTCGTGGTACCCTCAGGATATAGTACAAAAATGACTAAACTATCTGGTTGCCCAAACTAGATGATACGATAGTACCTCTCGGTTGGTAAGTTGGAATACTTAGTTATAAAACTGTTGGTTTTATCTAAAGAACTACATTTTTAAGGTCTTTCTTAAACTTCGAAAGTGTCCTAAAATTGAAAGGTTCATCGACTGAAGTGTTCTTCATAAACAATCAATGGTGATGGGTGCACTCTTTCTCAGTACTATAAGACATTTGGAAGAGTCATATTCAATGGATGTATTCATATTCTTAGAATAAAAACTCTTTATGAATATATCACTTTTCAGATGCGGCCATATTTCACTATTTCTGGGTGAGCTGCATCCGCGAAAATGCTGTTTGAACGTTGTAATTGGAAGTCCAACGAACTTTGCTTAGACATTTTAATGTTTACGATTCAGATCCGTATTTATCTACTTTCAAATAATCACCTGTCTGTTGAGTTATATTTGTTTACGTTTTGCTGTCGTAAAGCTTTCCAACCCAGATCAGCAGATATTTTTCGTTGTTTTATATAATTCTGTTCGTTTGAGTTATTTTTTAATTGGTCTACGTAATAACAAGGTAATATGATTCGTAAGGCACATGCTTTAATGTCATCCTCAAACTTCGTGGTGAATGATCTTGACACCCACAAGTGACTATCCTTGTGGGAAAAAAAGTGAAAAGCCCCCGAATTATCTCTTGCAGTTCTCCACTGTTTATGAGGATAGAGGACTAACTTTCCTCACCTCTAACAATTTTTGACCCTTAGTATTTGGACAGTATATAAATTTACTTAACATTGGTCACCAAATGATCTACATGGTGTATATGCAGTTTAGATTGGAAATTTACCTGAATTTATAGCCATGAATTAGTTTAGGGGGCAAAAAACAGGTTTGACACATTTTTCTAGACAACACGCTTATGGAAAGGAATATTGGGAGAGCTATAAAATTTCATAATGCTGTACGTAATTCTTTCAATATTTATCATAATTAATCAGTAATTCATTAGATATGTTGAATTCTGTGTTGTAGTATCGTGGTAACATGAAGATAATGAATTGCTTATATTATCAGTGGAAGTATTTATCACCAAAACATAAGAAAATGTCTTGGTCAAGTTATTTTCCTGTTAGTTTCATGAACTAAATGAAATGGATGTCTTTGTATACCAAGTTGAACATGGCGGTGAATAGATATCTCGTTAATATTATTAGCTGCTTATTATTAGTGTATAGCGTTGGAATTATTTGATATTCTTGCAATGACAGTGTCTTAATTTCTTCGAGAGTTGAAGTTTCGAGTCGCGTTTTATCTCATTTTCTTCTGGAATGCTGGATATTATTATCAACCTTTAAACAAAAAGTGCGATCTGAATCTCCTGGTATTTGAATCTGTAGTTGGTTGGTTAATCACATTGATAACTAATTTGAGGTGAATTTTGATATACAAGTTATATGAATAGATATATGCCTCTTGATAGAGATCGCTAAAGTAATGGGATGATTAGTCTTGAACATATCTTCACTTTTTACCATTTCTTTTTGTAAATCTGAACTAGGATTCTTTTGCTTGTGTCATCTATTTGTCCCGTAGTTTCAGTTCTTTGGCTCTAGTTCTCTATTGCACATTGTTCTTTTTACTTATTTTATAATAATTCTGAGAGGTGTAGCAATATGAATTAATGCAATCCACCCATAGACTATATTATTTCACTTGTTCGGTGTTGATGATTATTTAACTATCTGTTATTTATATTCTAAGTTTTGTTTCAGTATTGTTCTACTAATATTGGCTTATTATTTCCGTTATTCTAGTGCTTGCTAAATATTTGAAAATCCAGCCACTTGTAGGCTTACATGCCTAACATAATTATCATTTCGTTATGACGTCTACAAGTAGTGATATTGTTCCAGTTGGCACAATAATCAAAGAAAGATGGAGAGTTTACACTAAAATTGGTGGCGGTGGTTTTGGTGAAATCTATGAAGCTGTTGATATGATCAATCAACAAAAAGTTGCTGTGAAAGTTGAATCGGCACAACAACCGAAACAAGTATTAAAAATGGAAGTTGCTGTACTTAAACGATTACAAGGACGTGCGCACACGTGTCGTTTTATCGGTTGTGGTAGAAATGAACAGTTTAATTATATAGTAATGAGTCTTCAAGGTAAAAATCTAGCAGATTTAAGACGATCAACTCGTCGTGGATGTTTTACTATAAGTACAACTGTACGACTAGCTCGTCAAATGCTTGTTGCTATTGAAAATGTCCATAATGTTGGATTTCTTCATAGAGATATAAAACCATCAAATTTTGCATTAGGAACTGGGATCGGATCTGGCGCTGTAAATCCTAGACAAATTGTGCTCCTTGACTTTGGGTTGGCTCGTCAGTATACAACTGCTAATGGAGATATTCGAGCTCCTAGACAGGTAGCTGGTTTTCGGGGTACTGTCAGGTACGCTTCTGTTAATGCTCATTCAAATAAGGAACTTGGACGCCATGATGATCTCTGGTCGTTATATTATATGCTTGGTGAATTCATAGTCGGTGAATTACCTTGGCGAAAAATCAAAGATAAGGAGCAGGTTGGCTTGATGAAACAAACGTTTGATCATAATCAGTTATTAAAGTTTATGCCACGTGAATTTAGACCATTTCTTGAACATATTCAAAATTTGACCTATTTTGATCGTCCAGACTACATATATTTGCATTCTTTGCTTAACGCTTATATGGAACGTCGTAGGATAAATGAATCTGATCCATTTGATTGGGAGATAACAACTGAGCCTACGCCTGTTACTGGTGCTAATGAGACTAATCAGCACCATACAACACAAACACCTATAGCAACTCAACAAGCTGCTCAGGTCACTGTAGCTGGAGCACAGGGAACACTAGATGTCTCCAAGCTCCGAAAGGGTATTCCTTCTGGAGTGGATCAAAATAGGCTAAATGTTGGTGCAGGCTCAAGTGGATATATAAGTGGAACTAGATTGGCCGGAAGTAGTTCAAACTTAGCTCTTGTAAGTCCAGTTGTAACCACTTCAGTGGCTAATGTAGGGAAATCTTTTGATGCTATCCCATGTCATGGTGGACCAAATGGTAGTGCCTTAAATTCAAGATCAGTTGTAGTTTCACATCATCGTAATAATGTTGACGAAATTTTGAGCAATCACAATTCTCAGCAGCAACAAGGTAACAATACACCGCGTAAATCATTTTCAAATGCATGTGCACGGTCTCATCGACCTGCCACTACTCCACGTCTTGTTAAAGAAGCTGGAGCGGCGAGAGCTCGTGAAGCTGCCTCTAAAGATGTTACCAAAGTAGATCATTTTTACTCTCCACATTCTCAAGCTAATCGTGTTTCTCCTTCAGCTAAAGTTGGTAATACCGACTCAGTTTGTCAACCAACGGATAGTTCTATACCGATTAGTTGTGGACATCGTAATAATGATCCAAACAGACTTCAACCTGGTATAGGAACAACGAACAGCAATTCATCAAATCGTCGACCTATAAGTGCAGGTGCAGCTCATCTTAGAAGTAGTGGAGGCACTATAGGAAGTACAGCAAGTGTTGTTGGGGCTGGTTCAGGGACGCGATGCGACACAAGTTGCACACATGCTGTCATTGTAATGGTCGATCAAGGAGAAAATAGTAATTATCATGATATGACCAAAGCTGTTCCCCTTACACTCGCTAGTCATTGGATTGCTGGTGGAGAAGATGAAGAAGGTTCGGGCCTCTCTGAAAATGAAGATGCTGTCGTAAAAGTTAGAGGTCCAGCTTCTTCTGTTGCTAGTGCTTCTGGTGGGGTTGGAGACGAATACGATGCATCGAATCATTTGAACAAATTTAATGGAACAAATAATCAATTACCTGAATGTAGGAGTGGAGAAGACAATGAAGTATTTCCCAGAATGCAGTCAGAAAATGGCAATAATGACAATAATTACTTTTGTAATTGTGACCCTAGTATGTTAAATTCTCAGCGAGTCTTTCAACCTTCTGGAGATGTTAACAAGGATGTTGGATCTGGTTCTTATCAAGAGCCAGGATCAGATGAAAATAGTGGAGAGAGATCTTCAGTGAATGTACCTTATATTACACCTGGCAGACAAGTATCTATTTCTTCTCAACACACATATGGAGAGGTTGAAAGTGGTTCCTACAGACATAATATCAATTCTTTTGGAAATCGAGGTGTTGCACGTAAGCTATCCCAAGGATTTCGTCGACAAAGAGCACTGCCTCAATATCTTACTTCAGAATCAAAATTACTTCCAAGTTATGGTATGCCTACAGCCAAAGAAAGTCGTTTAGTCAATTCACCAACTCGCTTGAAATCTTTTAAAAGTGATAATGATAATAATTGGATCACTCGAAGTGGTGGTGATTTAACGCCCCAGTTTCCAATTCCATTCTCACGTTCCACAAGTCCATACCATCCTCATGGCTTAGAAATTGTTGATGAAAATACTAGTATACCAGTTTCTAAGCATTCACCATATATTACACAAGAAATGGTTGATCGCAGAGGTCGAATCCAGTATAAAGATTTACATGATCATGATTATCGTGAATCAGGAAATCTAATTAATCAGTTTCATTTTGATCCAATTGTTAATTTAAATAATAATCATAATGATAATAACAATGCTAACGCTAATAATAATCACAATTATTCAAATACATGGAAGTTTAATCAAAACAGTAATTGTTTTCCTAATCCACCACATTTAAATTCTTCTAATTCCATGTATCATCATTTACAACCTGTCGAGAATCAATCAAATCATATGAGTCGTTCAATGATATTATCACAAACAAGCAGTGCTGAGCCATCATCCACATATAACCTCCTCATGCATCCATTACGAATAAATAATGAAAATAATGAGATTAATTTGAAACCACCAAATTCATCATATTTAACTGATGGTCCTATCTTTTATAAATCACCGTTTCAATATTCTTCAGCATCGCCATCTGTCACAAAACCATTAACTACTACTATAATATCACGTGATTATTTTCGCTCTCGTCCTGATATCTCTTCAGCATCACGTCAATATTATGTTTCACAACCAAATAATCATTTCAATACAACTACACGACGTCCGACATTATCGGTCGCACAAAATAATTCATACTTAAAAGCACCATTTTCTAAATCTGAACATAATCTTTTACATGCTGTGGATAGCTTACCGGAATTGGAAAACAGACGATTTCAGCCTACAGTTGAAGATGATAGTTACTTGGTAAGTGAAATATATATATATTCAGTCGTGAGAGAGTTTAGGTAATGGAGAGAACACTTGTTATCAGTGCTGTAAGAGCGTGACCGACTGACAATTCCAAGCTTTTCACACCATACCAAAGTAAAAAGTGGACAGGATTAGAACTAATGGTTCAGTTAGCTGTAGAGCTTAAAGGGAAACTGGTTTAGGATCATGACCCTATTGATAGTTGTATTATCTATCAGCTACATTTTGTTGAGTTGTAATAATTGATTTGTACTAGCTTCTCAGATTGTTAATAATAACTTATTAGTAAGTAAGGATATTAAATATGTATAGCTTAATACTCATATGGGGTGGTTAACTAACATTGTATCAAATTGGAGTCGAAACAATTGATGTTCCTGTATTTATCAGTTAGAATAGACTAAAGTTATTTTAGGAGTCTTTTCAGAGTTGATTACTGAATAGAACTGGTACTGTTTAATGGCTATTTAGTACCCTAGTGGAGATATTTATTTTATTTTATTTCAACACATAAATATTGGTATAAGAGGGCACCAAATATATATGCGCCACACCATATTTGTGTATGTGCGGGCTGTGATACTGCCCGGGTGCCCAGACCGAAACAGGTAGTGGAGATATTGAAATATATCAGTTATTCATATCAAATGTAAGGTACAGCACGGATTTGTGTTAGTCCAAGTTGCCACATTGAATGGCAAAGTAACAAACAAAATTAAAAGAGGAGTAGAATCAACTTCGGCTACCGTGCAAATATGGAAGTACACGAGAAGTACAAATCAAAGAATAAGTAAAATCTCAGGATAGAAAGTTAGGAGTTACGTAACTCGACGTCTAGAGGGAGTTAAGCAATTATACAACCGCTCCACTAGCATTGATTTTATGCAATATCATTGAACGTCTCTAACAGTTGATTACGAATAGTAGTTAGTTTAGGGACAGAGTATTAAAAAGGTAAATTAGTCAATGGAGCTATAAGTTTATCAACTGAGCTGCTCTAAAGACATTTTACGCATATATATCCTCCATATATCTTAGAGACTGGCTACAGTAGGAGTTGGTTGGAAAATATCTAGAGCCAAGTAGGTCAAGCAAAACTATATTACTCTTTCAAGTCACTGATTTCTGAGGTTTCATCGTCCTCATAGATGCAAATTCCCTGGTTAGAAACCTTATAGTAACTAATCCGTGGTTGTAGATTTCAAATGACATGGGCCAAAATTGATGATATTGGAGCAATTATGCTCATTCTATCTCTTCCAAATCTTTAGTTTAGCGTTATTCTATACTCTTCTTTCTTTTTTGACTAAATGTTAGGTAGGAACAGAGAACTCTATTCTTAATCTACTCAGCTAATATCGTCTTTACATAATGACGTATTCTTAAAGACTTTTTTGTAGAATATACACAGATTGATCAAGTAACCCTATAATGTGACGATAGTTGACTATTTTGTCTACAGATAAAACCAAAAAATCTAAACAGTGACAAATACTTATACGTCACATGACTAACGCTCATTCTAACAAATTCAACTAACAGTTGGGTTCCACCTCAAGTCTAAGGAATATAACTACAGTTAAGTGTTAGTAGTATACCTATATTCTCAAACCTGACGAAGGTTGAACATTTAATTTGTACATTCACGCTAAGGCATGAAATCAGTCTTGTTTTTCCAGGTTTGCTTTTCACACTCTTCAGTTAAGCGTTGGATAGTTATGGATCCCAATGTTTTAGATGAAATATTGGTCAAAGTGATTCCTTTGTGGTTGTCACAAGTGAACTGTTATCTTGTTCTATAAGCTGAGACAGTCAGTCTGATTTCTAGCTTCCTTACGGAGGCTAATATCTCAGTTCATCTAATTTATAAAACTGAACTACGATCTTTTAAAACAACTGGGAACAATCTATAAGGACCAGCTACTCTCCCTAGCTTCAAAAAACAGTTGTTTAATTCACATGAAATCTGGTTCGATTAACTGGGCACTGAAAATAAAAAGCATAACACTAAAAAATATCTGTATTTGCCGGGATAATGTCCTGTCATCCGAACCGAAACAGATAGTTTCTTTTGACTTAAAGCTCTGATCCACAATTGAGGGAAGCCATGCCAAGCGCTGCATTCTCAAAGTAGCTAACAATCGAAAATACTTTCACACCATTCGTTTCCTATAAATCTTGGAGCCCGTATACACCATTGATTTGGAATCAGGGTTGTCCAACTTTGAGAGTTTGCTTTTCATTTATTTTTTCTAAAAAAAATCACACGCCGCCTTAGGGGATCGAGTAGGACTCTCTTGGCGTAAAATGTAAACACTTAGCTATGAGAGCACTTTGAAAGGGAGAGCAAACCGTCTGTATACTTGACCGTACTAGTTCATGCACGGCTTAACAAGTGAGACATTTTTTGAGAAATCCAAAATAATAAGACTTAGATTGATTTTAATTCATGTATGATAAACGTTATCGGCTTATTGTACTCACTTTACAAAAAATAAGTATATGGAATTTGCTTGCTAGATGTATAATTATTTCTTGGTACATCTCAGTTCTCCATTAAAACTTTTCTCATCCATTATTTTAAACCTTTAACTATTTAATGATTTGAAATTCATGACAATAGCACTTATATATTTCAACATTTGGTTGAACTTGATGAGTTTTGTACATGAACGCTAGAATGTTAAGTTCCTAGTCTCACTTACTCATGAATCCGTGAAAAGAAAACAGGTGGAAAGTATAAGGGTTTTGTTTCTATAGTTCTTTTTGCAAAAAAGACGAGAGTATTTATATAATTATATTACCTTGTAGTTTTAGAACTCTTTGCGGACATGCTAAAACTAGTAACAATTTCAGTATTTGTCCAGTCAAAATAAGGAAGACAATCGTTTACTAGATTTTTCTTGGAAATTTCTAAAATATGCTGATAGGTCGAAGTGTTTTCAGCATTTTTATGGTCCTCTGAAACTGGCGAGAAATCACTGAAAAATTCCAAATGAGTTTGATCTGTCTACACATTGAACTTCCAGTCCATTAGTGCATCAGGTGTCTGAATATATCTTCATGTACACACTTAGTGTCGATGGCATTGAGATGCGTAAGCAGATTAGTTGGGAATATTTTACTTAAAATGAAGCAGTTTTCAGTATGAGTTTGAACACTGATGATATTTGTCACAAACATTATTCAATCAATTCACTAAGTCTATTATGTTCCTTTGGCTAAAGAAGCTGTTCAATTACAGATCTGTATTATCATTTTGAGCAAAATGTTTCGTATGAGTTTTACGTCCTATTGATGGTAGATAATATTTCGCATATATTCCTAATTAGATTTCAGTGAATGGTGTTTGCCAGGTCACTTGTCTATGTAGAGTTCAACTGCTTTTCATCCATTGACCAACTAGACAATCACAGCTGGCGCGATAGTCAGCCATAATCGATATAGAGCCTGAAATACGTATACATTGGCCTACGTTACCATATCGTACCACGTGTATTGAGTAATTTGGTGTTGTTGCAATTATTTTCTATCTTAATCAAGATATTGAGTTTCAGCATTCGTACATCTTCCTTCAATTATCCATTACATACTGTATGATTTCCTGAATTCTGTCTTTATCCCAATTGTTCCCTGTTTCGCTTCCTCTTCTCTTTGTTTCATTGTTCTGCTGGCAAGCATTCGACTCTCAATTGCTGTTACATACTACTTGAGTCTGTTAACACAAGTAGCATTCACCGCATTATAGGTCGAGATATTTTTTGATTTATTCAAGACACGACTGGTCAGTAAAAAAAGTATAAATCACACAAATAAGAAGATGAAATCATGAAGAGGTATATGATAGAATGAGGTACATCGTCAAAAATAGTTAAATTAGTAAAAATGAGCGGAAGAGAAAAGTTTATAATGAGAGAGACAGTTCATTTTAAAAGATATATAACCAGGAAGAATCCTTTCAGTTAAATGAGTTCCTTTTTGTGATCTAATCTTAGCGCCTAAAAATAGTGCTCATTGTCAAAGATGCCGGGTTGACATTCCTAACACATGTGCAAACCACCAAAGCCGGTGTTTCAACATGGTGATATCAAATGATTAAAATCTAAAAGTATTCAAGTTAAAAACAGCCAATCATGACAGTTTGTAAATGTAATAAATAACTCAATGTAATCCTTCCAACAATTTCTGTGATCATGAAACAATGAATTATATTCCAATTAATGATATCGATTTACTATTCGTGTTTATAAATAGAATGCGAACCTGGAATTCTGCTTTCAGGACATTTATGTGTGTGTCAAGTCTTTCTTAGTGCAGATCGAATGCTATCGACCTGGGTTCAGGGTTTCCTGTTGACTACCTCCAACCACCATCTTAACACTACAGTTATTCTAGACCACGTGTATAATAAAAAAATAATGACATATTAGATAATTATTTTTACTTAATATACCACATGAAAAAGTTATGTTTGATTGTTTCATATACCGATTCATTCATATCTATCCATTTGTATATTATTTATATTCTTATCAATTATTGTATAGTTGGTATAACAAAATGTTGGTTCTAAAAATGAAGGTCATTCCATCTTTTACAATACAAAGGTAGCTGTATATTATTGTTGTTGTCATGTGGTGGGTTTTTTTAATTAAAAAGTTTCATGATGAATTAAACTATGCACTCACTGATATATATGTATGCACATACAGCTTAACTCTCTCTCTATATATATTGTTACTTTATTTCTGTAATAAACTTTACATAATTTCAATCACTTGGCCATACTTTAGTTTTGTTGCACGAAATATTATTAGTTTGCTCATCGTCGATATTTTTGTTTAATAAGTAGTATATAAACAATTTCCTGTATTATATATATGATGTTTAATATTGTTTCTTTTTCGTCGTTGTACATTGAATCTACGTTGTAATAATTCAATGGGAAAAAATAGTAACAAAATAGAATACAACTTTATTCCATTTCTTTATTGTATAACCAATATATCAATGTCAGCAGAGATAAATGGTGGTTAGCAGTCAAGTCCAGGACGCGCTTCTCGTCCTATTTGGGACTCTTTAGTTAGATGTATCTGCATCGCAGAGTTAATGTCCTCTATTGGACTCGAACCCAGTACCGTTCGCCTCAAGTGTTATCGCGTTATCCACCTAACTATTGAAATCATTTATTATACATAATTGAATTATGTACACGATATTTTTCTCAAATACTCAATGATTATAAAGTTTGGATAGTGGACTATGACTGATTAACAAAAATGTTGAACTATTTACTAGCGATCAGCCAATCAGTCAAGTGTTTAAGTATGTATGTGTTGGCTTTGCAAAATAATAAAATATTTGTAGTCAATGCTTAGTAATTCTTATTACTTTCGATTTAGGTTTGTCCTCCATTCCTTTTTAAGTTTTCTTGTTGTTTAAGTTTCGCACTAGTGTAAATATCAACACGGATGTTGGCACATCCATTCGATGAGTCCCAAGTAGAGTGAAATCCGCATCCTGTACTGCACTACCAGCCACAAGCCAAATTAATGAATATGTTAACATTTGAGAAACAATTTAATCCGAATATGCATTGTTATTTTTAAGCTAATGTTATTGTCGTTTATAATATTGGGATCATAAAAATTCTATGTGATTTCATTAACTTTGTGTCTTAAATAAATCAGTAAACAAAGTACTACAACTTCGTGATCGAATGAAGTTTTTGGAAAATATTTCAATGGTTGTTGTATGCAAGTTAATTGTACTATTTTATTACTTAAAAAATTGGCAAGTAAGGTGGATTGTTTGAACTATGGAAGTTTAAGTTTATTGAAATGGGGTTTTAAGTAACATTGCAGTCTTAATGGGATTGTAATTCATCATCACTTTAGAAACCTAATAGAATTATACAAATTTTTAAAGGTTTGTTTTTATTCTTATGATGTATATATTTAAATGGGATTTAACTAAAATGAAATATCTTGAGTGTTCATAATCCTTTATGAATTTCTTACTGCCAAATTTTATACGTTCGAGATCTCATTAATATTGAGGGGATTCAAAACATTTCCGAAGAATAATTCGGAGGGGTCCTGATAACATTGGGAAATATTTGATCCAATCAGCGTTGAGTAGGGGTTTCTCAGAGACATCTAGAAAGTGTCAAATCACGTGTCACATTTATCATTGGATGATTAACTATCTTGCTTCTGCGTTTAGCATAGTTCCAGAACCTTCCAGAAACACGAGGCCATCTGATACACTATAAATACCCTCGATTTTCTGTACATTGACTAACCTTGATTTTAGGAGGTAATTCCCGAACTTTTAATGAGGAATGGTGATCAATGTAGTTCAGTCCTGTCAGTTGTGACGTAATTACCCATCGGAGATTTCGGAAGTTAGTCATACAATATCGGTAATTAGTTAAAACAAAGCTAGATCCAAAGGCATTGGGCTCGATCCCTAATGCCGTGATCGTATGCACTAAGACGGAACACTTGTTCAGTATGTTCCAGATACTCAGTAGTTATCTAACTTGGATCTGTTCACTATCTTATTAACAAATTCCACAAATCCCTTAAACGGATAAACAAAATTTTATCAAAATATCTTCATTTTCCATATGTTCAAAGAATCAATTATTTTAACTTGTATTAGTATTTAATATATAATAAGAAACGTTTGTATCACTGATAGTTGATTTCATGTCATTACCAAATTTATTGTAGTGTTTATAAATTTGGAACCCATAAGTACTATATCCTTATATGCAACCTTTCTTTTATATATTATCACCATTGACTTAACTACTCCTATGAATCCAGTATCCATCTCTCTCTGTTAATGAGGTATGGCAACTTGGGCCGATGCATATATGTGCCTGGTCCTACATTGTAGCTGACTGACTGACTTACTGACTGTTGTTGATGTCAATGTGATACAGATTATTTGTTTTTTATTACAATATTTGTCAATATTAAATATTCATATAGTTTTTTTTATAAATTGTTTTCCTTCTCAACATTTTATTATAATGTTGAACTATATTATTAGTAAATAAGGATAGGTTTGAAGTGTTATGTTGTCTTTTGTGTCAAGTTATAAATATTATTGATTGTTGGACGGAATTGGGCTTTTCTAATTTTGTTTATTTATTATTCAATGAATAATGAAAAGTATTGGTTCTTTGAAAAAAAACAAGCATACTTATAAGACAGACAAACAGTAACAACGTCGAACTTCGTATGTACATACCGCAGTTCGAGTTGCCATACCACACTAGCACGGAGATGAGGTTGCTGATTGAAATCCTGTAGAGGTAGTAAGAGTATAAGCGGTAACTGGAAAGATTACGGTTTGAAGATGTTATTCAAGGAGTATACTTATAAACGTATTCTTAATTTAACCACATATAGAATAAATTAGTTTTAATGTATTTTGTTATTTCATAAAGTAATTTAAAGAAGCGTATTTTCATTGTTTATTTTACATATGTTTTTTTCCAGAGTTTGCTTAATGTTTTCCATTGTTTTTTTCCGAAAATAAACACAATTTACTTTTCTCATTCGATAAAGTAATTAGAGGAATAAATTTCCTCATCAAGTGGTAAGGTTTCATGATTAGGGTGTTAAGTTGATTACTGGTATGAAAAAATGGTAACATTTAAAAATGTGTATTGTTTATGTTTTAACGGGCAGTGTGGCAATTCTGATATTGATACACAGCGTGCGACACGCTAACCTTCCAACTGACATCTTGGGCGAGAACACAAGATTGAGTGAGTAAATGTATTTGGCTACCGAATATAATGCACAAATGCTTATTCATATATATAGCATTCTATCCTTAGGAAATTGACCCATTTCTTAGCCAAAGGACTGCATTTGTCCTTTAGTTCACTTCTGATTGGCTCTCCATATCGGTTTAGGATAAATGTGTATAACGAAGAAAGTCTAAATTTACTGGAATTGTATGGTTTTCAACCCCTAAAACCCCTACGTTCGAATTGCACTCTATCTACTTCTGTTTGAGCAATCGGGTAGTATCACAAGCCTTCGCATTTAGTGTGTGGATCAAAGCCTAATACACGAGTTTGCACCTGGTTAAATAAGTTGATAAAAATAGTGAAATTGAATAAAACACTATCCATAACTTAACGACTATTATTCGGTTTGGATGGGAATCTATCCTTTATAAGTAGAACCAGGAACATAGTGACGTAACTCACTAGAAATTATAACCAAACATTTTTCTCAAGCTCTACTATTTCTCTTTCTTCATGGTTCATGTAATTATTCAAGAACAAGGCTTGTGTGTAATCTTGAAGCAACTAATGTTCCACTAATTAAGTGAATGGAAGGTGCCACATTATTATTATTCGTTTCTCTCATTGAATAGTCAAATGATGCCAAAATGTTTCCGTATTTGGTCTATCAGGAAGTTAGGGGGCGCAAACCAAAACGTGACATCATGAAATGATGTGTCTACGCGACTGTTGTAATCAGTAGTTAAAAAGACCTTTGGTGACATAGATCGCAATCGTTCACAATGGAGCATCCACTATTCATCTTTCCTTAGATCCTTAGTTTATCAATTACCCTTTAAATTTTTTAAAAATTCTCTTAGTCCATTTTTTCTTCTGTAATCATGTCTTATGTTTATTCTTTACTATTAACAGTAGTACTGTTGCTATTTATACTTCTCTGACATTTCGCTGTGCTAACGTCATATGGCAAATTGAATGAATGCCAATATATTGCCTAATTTCTACGTTGCGTATGACTGACTGATTGTGTAATCAGTATATATTTACAAATCGCTTAGTATATGATAAATTCGATACTATATAAGTATAGCTGGTAACTTTGCGCTTATAGACATTATTTATTTGTTATTGATATCTTATCAACAATGTAAAATAAAATACAGTCTACAATATCAGAAGTGTTCTAGTTATTACCGACAATACTAAAATAATGATTAATTTTCTTTGGTAAAACTACTGAATTCGAAGATATGTAGCATTTTGACTGAAATTCACTAGTTTAAAGTTAAATTCATTTTGTATTGTTTTTTGTGTCTTCCCATTGATGTTCAGGACTGCAATTGATCAGTCTCTTATTAGTATATGTGCATCCTGTTTGGGTTGCCTCGATATTGTCTTAAGTCACAAGCATTAAAAGAAAGATGGATGGCGGCTAGTAGTGGAATTCAAATGGGAAGATACAAACAAAAATACATAATGAATTTAAACTTCACCTCATTGTACAAGCTAGTGGTTATCAAGACTTAGTAACTAAATGGATAACGCAATGGCGTTTGAAGCGAACGATATTGGGTTCTTATCCCGGAGTGAACATTAACTCTGAGATGCAGGTAGACGCAACTGACGAGTCTCAAAATAGAGCGAAATGCGCGTCCTGGATTTCACTACTAGTCATTGGTCTAAAGTTGCTATCATTGTCGCCACAGGATCTGTGGCTCATGTTTATAAATCTCACATAACTTTGTAAATTTACGGAAAACTAATATTTTAAAAAAAAGAACTGAGATTTTCTCTTCAATGTGTTTTTTGGAGCTTTTAAATGATTTTTCTAGCTGCTTTCAAAACACATTAGAATATTTAAATCAATTAACTCCACAAATAATCTGTTTAATTTATCTATCAAACAAATGAACATATATTTGGTTATAATTTCAATGATAATGTTATGGGATAAAAAATGTGATTTTATAAGTTTTGTTAAAATCATTACTGAATAAATTATTCAGGTCTTGCGCACAAGACCGAAGGTCCTGGGTTCGAGTTCCGTGTGCTGAATCGTGGATGCGCACTGCTCAAGTGTCCTATATCAGGACGAAACGGCAGTTCATTGCTCTTAGGTTTTCAATAGTGATCTAGCTTAAATCGACTCATGAATTCAACTATTAAAAAATTACTACAATCTCCACAAACCCCTATTTTAATATTATTCATCA